TCCAATGTATCTAATGAAAATTAATAAAATCATGTTGACCTAATAAACTCTATTAGTTCTCCACACCATCTAGGTACAAACTATTTTCAATTTATTCATATTTGCAACCATAGTGGAACATTTTTACAAAATTTCAAAGTTATAGGCCTAGCTCAAACAGTTAAGGAGTCATGAATGTTTATGTAAAAATCAAATACAAAAACATAGACCGAAAACGGAATGAGATAGGTCACATGTTATAGTACGTTTTTTGTTTCTTTTGACATGCTGAATGTCAATTTGATGTTGAAATGCAAAAAAGAGTTAAAGCAGCAGAAAAATCAAGTTTTGACTTAATAAAATTTATACATTCTTACCACCAAGACTGTGTGTACAAAATAATACAAAGTTTACGTACTTCTGTCTGTTTTCAGTCTTGAAAATAGTCTGGGGATGACTAGTTTCAGGTCAAAGACCCATTATCAAATCCACATCAAATTGAAGAGTTTATAATCCGACGGAACGGAAGTCTTCATCAAAACCTACATATACACGAGTCGACACAAAGTTCAAATTTTCACACGGATATGAGTACCTAACTTACATTTAATTAAAAAGCTATAGGCCGGCCACATTCTTTCACGCACAGGACAAACCGACACAGGAACTATGGATTTGTCCACAATATTTCTAAGGCGGTTTTAGGGGAGGGGGAATTTAACCTAAAACTGCCTAATATTGTAATGAAATCCATAGTTCCTGTGTCGATTAGTTATTGTTTGTCGGACATGATGGAACTGTGGATAGTTCCATCGTGTCCGCCATACAAACTGTGTCAGTGTGTCGGTTTATCCAGTATGTGAACGAATGTGGCCGGCCAATAGCTTTTTAAATGTATATAAATGTGCTTGTATCTATGTGTAAATTTGAGCTTTATGTGTCGACTCGTATATACTGCATATACATTTTGATGAAGACCTCTGTCAAATTATAGACTCTCCAGTTTGATGTGGATTTGATAATGGGTCTTTGACGCGAAGCTAGTCATCCCCAGACTAATTTTTTAAGACTGAAAACGTGTGATGAGGTACGTAAGTTTTATACGGTTTATAGACTTGTTCTTTCACTAAAAAATCCCAATAAAGACTTAATACTTTTGAAAATAAAATATTAAGAAGCGTTTTTTGGACCAATAAAAGATAAGTTTTGTGGAGAATAAAAAAATAGGGCGTTGAGGGAATTTCATAGAGAACTAGATAGGTACCTATTGCGGTAGTGGCAAGTAGAAGGTTGAGATAGCTGGGCCACATTCAAAAGACAGGTGAAAGAGAGATAGTAAAGCATGTGATAAGAGGTACTATGGAGGATAGGAGACCATTGGGAAGACCAAGGATGCAATGGATTAATAAAGTTACAAAAGTCCTAAGGAGAATGGGAGGAAACCTAGAGCTGGCAGAAGATGGAGGATCCTGGAGGCACATTGTTGGCGAGGCCAAAGACCGCCTAGGGTTTAAATGGCCACAGGAGTGCGTAAGTAAGTAACGGTAGGGTAGATAATATAACGGCTGTGATCTCGGGTATTATTCATGATGACATTATAATAAATTATAAATCCACACTAAGACAAATTTATTTCTACTGAAGCTAATGGTTACCCGTCTCAGGTAGGCTAATCTGTTAGATATTATATAAGTTAGGTAGGCTATATCATTTACTGTTATGTCTATTGAGCTATTATGAATGTTTAGTCTATGTTTAACCAGTTTAACATTAGACAACAATGTAACAATAAGTTTAATAGATCACCACTAGTGATATGGGTAGCTATTATAAACTAATTAATTAGGCCCAAATGTAATTAAAAAAAAAAAAAATAAATAAAATTTTTTTAAAATAAAAAACTATTTTGAATTACACTTTTAATTAGTCTGCAAGCTGTAAATAATTAACACATTCCGCTGCTGAAAACCTTTAAACAGGCGCTCGCCAATTGCGGCGAGGCCTGGGCGGAGCCCCGACGCGCTAACTGAATCAGCGATCGCTATTGGTATTGAAATATCTCAGTAAGACGAATCACAAAAGAGCAGTGGTGATTGTTCTGCGTTACTCCGAAAGTGGACGTAGTTCACTGAAACACCCAAAGGTAGCAGCACTGCCTGGATCAATAACCAGAGTCTTTGTAATACGGCTCGAATTGAGATATCCCCGAAAACGGGACAAAAGCATTGCCAGACGGGATTTTACGGGCAATTTTTGTACCAACCTACACCAGAATAAAGCTCGCATTATAAGCTACAGGCTGGTAAAGATTACAACGTTCCCCGGACAATGGCTGAACCACACTGATCCGGCAAACAATGCAATGCGCGCTCCCCCACCGGTGGACCCGCCGCATTGAATGTGTTAAAATTCAGTTGAATTTTTTTAATTCAAATTTTTAGTTTAACCCTCCGAGTGTCCATAGTTTAGGCCTTAATGTCCACCTATTTTTGGCCCCTTTGCAAGGTTTTATTAAAACGGATCTGAGAAGCTTAAAACAATGTCAATTCTAATGTTCTATATACCATTTTGTTTGGAAAATCATGGGCTTCAATATTATATATAAAACATAAGGAACATTTTTTCAAAAAAAAAATTTTTAGGTAAAAAAAAAATATAATTTCGAAAATTTTCAAAAAAAAAATAAGTTCGCGCTCAACGAAATTGTATAAATTATAGGCCTATAAATATTTGAAAATAGCCACTTTGTTCTAAATTTAATGAGGATTACAAATATATAATCATATAGCGAGGTAAGTTATCAAATAAATAAGTTATGAGCGAAAAACGGATTTCAGTACATAGCGTTTAGCTAAGAATGCATAGCCTAACCATAGCTAGGAATCTGGCTGATAATTTACATCAATATCACTACCTACTTCTTCAGGATCATCAACCAGCACTTCAAAACCACTTAAATCTTCTTATAATGCACCACGTATATCACTACTTTTGATTTTTAACACTAAAACAATGATAAACGTAATAAAACACATCAGTCATCGGTCCGGGGGAACCTAGCTGTTTACAAATACACGCACGTCAGCTGTCTGCTACAATATTTTCGGAACTAAAATGAATAGCGCTTAGAGACAGACCTCTGGAGAAAGCTTAGAATATTACGGAAAGAACGATACCTAACTCGATCCAGTTCAATCCGATTCAGTCAGTCATAGAGCCTTCGCCGTAAGCGATGTTTGTGCGTCATAAAAGTGACGCGTGACCCTACACAAAGTGTGTTGTGCGTCATTTTTATGACGCGTGACACTCGGAGGGTTAATTGGTTAATAATAGTTACCCAGATCAAACAACTGATTTTTCCGTTCCCTTTAAACAATTGTAAAAAACAAGATTGCACCTTTATTACATCGAAATTCAAACAAGTTTATGCATTTCAACTCACTCTTTCATTTAGGCTGATACCAATAATTGGCAAAGCCATGTAGGTACGGATGTAATTTCATTAAACTTACCAACATTAAGTAGCATTTGCATTTGTTTGGTTTAGCCTTGCTCGGTCCCCATATTTTTTTCTGAATGGAAAAATGTTGTAGCAATTAGTTCAACCACCATCCTCCTAGTTACTAGTTACATCTACTGTAGATGTACTGTTGTAGAAATCTTTCACCCATGCTGTTCAGCAATCCAACCTGGTAAAACATAAATGAGTTAGATGATCTCTACTACATACATTGACATCCAGACAAGTTTTTTTTTTATTCAACTCTTTCATTTAGGGCTGATACCAATAATTGGCGAAGCCATTAAGGTTAAGATTTAATTATCCTACATTGAACCATTGAGCCTGCATGCCTGTTACTTAATTCCCTAAGCATTAAATGATCATGGTAGACTAAATAGGTTATCAGTTAGATGTCCACAGTGAAGCCTAGCCTAGGCACTCCCTGATACTACTTGTCTGGACAAAAATTTAGAGAAACTAACTATGTAATGCTTCTATAGGCTATGTCTAACCCACGAATACAGTACTAACTTAACTTAGAACAGGAACAGGCCAATGATAGGCTTTAAACGAACAGACACGGTATGGATCATAAATTTAATGTCTATAATGCTGTAAAGTTAAGACAATAGGTCAGTAGCACGAATACTTTCGTGAAGGTAATTTTGTTGTTCAATTATTACTTTAAAAAATACATTTAAATTTATCTGCGTTCAACTTTATGAAGGGATTAAATATACGCAATTTATGGATGCTACTTTCAGATCTATGTTGGCTATATTTATAAAGACAATGCCTAGACCAAACTACAAAATAGGCTTACTTAATAAGTTAATAAATACATTGGCAATTTGACAATAAGATTAGAACTGAAATCTGAGCTGGTTCTTTAATCTATAGTTTTTAGTTTTTGTTACCAAAATCAAACTTACGTATTGTTGCTGATAAAACTCGATTCTTCAAATGATTTAGATAAATAATAATTAACTTAGCATATTTTGTGAAAATAATGTACTGTACAAGTTGAATAACAACAGACTACTTCTACTTGATTATACAACTGTAGCCTACTTTACTTACTTGTCTGGTCTGCATTCTGCAAGTGCAAGTGCAGTGCAAAGTGTGTAAATATTAAAAGTGCGTGTCGGCGTCGGCTGCTTCCAATCCAAACAAAATGTAAACAAAACAGTCACGTGACACAGCACCACTTGCGACGTTGCCAGTTCGATGGCCGCGGCCTGCTCAACAGTATAAGCGTAAATATATGTTTTAAGTGTTATAAGACGTTTCTTTTATTTACTTTCCATAACCAAACAGTAAAGCACAAAACATGAAATTAACCCTAAAATAATAGAAACAAAGTTTCGTCGACACTAGCGTGACGTGTCACCAAACACTATATATAGTGTGTTGATGGTTCATGTTTGATTGCTTCCAATTTTCCAAAATAAATAAGAGAGAAGAATAAAAAGAGTATTTGACTTTAAAATCAATAACCAGTTAGCTTCTGCTAGGAATTTATAAATACATAGCTAGCAATAGTTCGTAGTTATAGTAGGGTAACTTACTTTAAACTTTTGGTAAATCTGAGACATCGCGAATTTTGCAGCTTAGAAGTTTTATTTTAAGTACCTTGCTAAAACGTTGTGTTTTTAGATAGGAGGTAGTACAATTTAGCTGTTAATTAAGTATGGAACTACGTGCAACAGGACAATTCTATTTTGATTCATGCAGATACAATGGACAGTGTTTGTTGTAGATCTTATCTTTCCATAACTAAATTAAATAAGCTACCTATAATAATGATTTTTTCTGAAAAGAAATTACTCCCGGAAATAAGATTTTTCAATCACTCCTAGTAGTTTTGAAATTTTACTAGACATTGAAGTAGATAGGCTAGCTAACTAACTTAAAGTAATGCACTTACATTTTGAAAAAAATACCAACACAAAATGTGATTGCACTATTCTTTCCCTGTCGTGGATGGGAAAAGTTCCTGATGAATTACCAGAGGTAAGTCTATCCTCTAATATGTCATACAAACGTCAGGCATAGGCTATAGATTTTAAATGTAGTCATAGGCTGGATAACTTAGTGGATAGTTGAAGTGGATTTGAAAGCTTTGCATACACACTCTAAAATACCGTAGTTATTTTTACGGAAATTATTTAGATGGGGGTGACCAAGCGTTCTATAATAAGTTATATATCATTGGAAACTAGATTTTTACCTGAAAATAATGGTGCAAAAATTTTTCTGCTGCCACAAAAACTGAATTTGCTACGATATTTTTAAGTTTATTACTGTAATACCTCTTGTTGGCTGGTCTCTGTCGCCATAACTGTACTGTGAATTGACTGACCAACACAAACATGAACGATTGAAATTGAAAGGATCGTCTAGGGATGAAGAAGAAACCTAATATGACAAAGAGTAAGTTTATACAAAGAGGATAAAGAGGTAGAGACATTTATAAATTCAACTAAGCGTTGATTATGAACTACTTCAGTTCTTATTTAGACATGTGAGGGGTAGGTTGGGTGTTATGCGGACTCGTGACTGTATTAAGTGTTTTGAAGTTAGGTTAGATTGGAAGGTAAAGTTTAGGTTATAATGAACCGAGTTGTTGATTTAGGCTATATTATCTCCAGACTGGGCTGCACTTTACTTGACGTCCTACACTCATTCGAATGAAAATATCGATCGATATATCGATTAATCGATTGCTTCATTCGATATATCATTTGGTTAGTTAGGTAAGGTTAACCTAACCTAACTAACCAAACGATATATCGAATGAAACAATCAAATGAAAATATCGAATCGAAAAAACAATCGAATGAGTGTAGGACGTCAAGTAAAGTGCAGCCCCAGACTGTTTATGCACGTTGTTAAAAGTACTACAAACACAACAAATAATAATTTCAAAAATGCGCAGCATTGTATTTGACATTTATAAATATGTGGAGAGAATAAATAGCTACTTGTAAGATTTAAAACGAAAAACGTAGAGCGCATGCAATAGATAATAATAGTTCAATAAGTGAAGATAATTGTAAATTAGCTAGGCCTAATAAATTATTTTTTAATTTATAGTGCGTTTAAAAACGTTGAATTTTAAAAAAGTCTTTTTATTTATAATTTATAATAGTAGTGTATTATGTACATGTCTGATCTTCCCACGTATGATGCTATCACGACCCATACATTATCTTTAGCACGCCGATCTTTATACAGACTGTTCTTCAAGTCGTAAATGGCAGAATGAGGTGCTACAGCTCATCAGACAGCTTTTCATCTTCTTCAGGGGTAAAAAGCAGTTTTGTATTCTTTAAGGACATTACGACCAAAACAATTCCACACTCAACACAAATCGCTCAGCGACTGCGACTCTGACTCCCCTCAGAGCAGACCCGCTACAGTCGCTGAGTTCAGCCGCTAGCTGCTCCAGTCGCAGTTGCGTCAAGGACAATGGTCCCATTTGAAACAACGCTAGCCAGTGCTCAGCTACTATCGCTCAGCTACTATCGCTGAGCTACTATCGCAAGAGTCGCTTCAGGGACAATGCACCTTAACTTATGCTGTTCTTCTCATACATTTATACACTGTTCTGTGATGATGACACCAAACAGCTCCATGGACCTAGTATGGGTTGGTGGGTGTAGGAAAGTAATTCCAAGAGGGCAGGGCAGTCAATCAAGCATCATTTAGGCATCGTAATTTAAAGAAATATTATGTGTTGAATATTCCTTTGTACTGTACGGTAGCCTATCTCCAAGATGGAAAGGTGATGCTGCACAGCAATGATGTTTACTGTTACTTCCAAGGACCGGTAGTTAAGTTAAGAAACATTCCTGTAATACATCATCCACAGGGATCTCAATCTGTTGTATAACATTTGCATTTTTCTTTGACAATGGGGTAAAACTAGATAAAAATAGGCATAATTAAACTAAGTTACTGAATAATCCATGTAGCTCCAAGGGTTGACAGTTGGTATGTATACAATGAATTATTGTGGATGGAATAGGTTTTAGAATTAGAAAGTGGACAGTTGATACTTCAATATTTTATGTTATGACAAGTGTCTGTCTTTAAATAACATGGCTAGTAAGTGCAATTTTACAACTTGACAGGATGAAGGATGGAAACTCAACCGCACTAACTATTACCAAGAGGGATGGCTGGCCACAGGGAATGTACGAGGAATCGTTGGTGTCACGTTTACTACTTCCCATTGCAACAAGGCCCTAGAGACACCTCCACGCACCAACTACAACTTGAGGGGTCATCGCTCAGAGGTAACAAAATATAACCAACACAACATACATCAATTATCAATTATTTAAGTAGGGGACGCCACTACGTCGTATTTTAACCCAAATATGAATGAAGGATGAGTGTAGTATGAGTGGTGCGATCTTTTAGTGACTAAGGCCGACATATTCCTTAGACACAGCTGTTGTTAATTAATAGCTTAATTAATCAAGATCTGGCTTATCAGTATATTTAGAAGGCTTCATTTACCACATAAACACACAACACATAATATGCCTACATAGCATTAAATACGCCTACATAAAATACCTATGCCGCAGCAAACCGGCAGACTAAGTGAATTTCCATCTGCCTATTTCGACTTTCACTTAAATCTATTTTAAAAATAAGATTACGTTTAATGAGTACCTAGGTTTGCTGCTACAGGAGAGTAATAAAGTGCGTATATCCATAAACGTTTATCATATATCCGTTCATCCATATCCATAAACAAGCAAACTACAACAGTTTACTTATTCTCCATAAGAATAACATGGACATTTTAAGTTAACAATTTTTTTAATTTTCTCTTTGACACAACCAATAATTGTACGGTACAAAAACACTTCAACATACCAAATTGTTTGTTTTCTTAAGCTTCTCAAAATAGTTTAGAGATAAATTCGATTATTTTATGTTTTGAGCGTCAAAAATGGGAAAGACAAATTTTTACCCATAAAACCCTCCCATGGTCCAATCATGCTGATTCGCAAACTCATTCAAGTTTATCCCGCCCTAAACCTTCAAGCTAAATTTCATCAAAATTGGACAAAAATTACTCGAGTTGGGCTACAGTATCATAGGCGGTCATAGGCCTAAAACTATTTGAACAAATAGTGTTTTTGCCTTGTGGAGGCATCAAAATAAAAAGTAAATCGATCCATGGCCTAGGTCACCTATGTAATGCTACTTCCCTATAGGGAAATGAAAGACTTTTGGGTGAAAATTTTGGGGGGTTACCATAACAGTAAATTTAATGTAGACCTACTACAGTCCAACCTCAGTATAACGAATCTGAAGGGACCGAACTGAATATTCGTTATATCAAGGATTTCGTTAAAAACGAGGTTCGTTATATAGAGGTTAGGTTTTGCAGGAATTTTGCTAAGTCGAGGTTCAGAACCAGCGTCGATCAAAATAGGTCGGGATTTGACCTCATTAAAATACAGTAGCCTACAATTAAAGTAGCATAGGCTACAATACTTTACAGTACAGTGTTTACATTGTACAGTAGAACCTAAATTATCCGGCATAATAAAGGAGAGGGATCTTAAATATTGTGCAATCATGACAATGGCATTGACCTTGGTACAGGTTAAAACTGTAAGTTTAAAATCACAGCTTGTTCTAACCCTCCTAAAACCTAGCCAAACACTTTATTGCGTAGTCATAAACCATGTAAAGAACAAAACAAAACAGTAGAAAGTTTTGTAAGCTACTGCTCGCGATAGGCCGGTAGGCTACTTACGGTACAGTACTGGTTTATCACAACAGAGGAATGTCAATAATAATCATTAACTATAGCATTGGTGTTGCTAGTTGAAACAAATCGTATTGAAAATGATAAATTATTAGATAAGTCATTATAAAAGTGTATAATCATAGCCAACTTAAGGATAATAAAAACACTCGTAAAAGGAATATTAAAATAACGATGTTGTTATTCTTTCTCTTTGGTTTTGTTTTTATATTCTTTCTTAGGTTTCTCTTTATCCAAAAATTGTACAATTCACCATAGTTATCCCATACCGCCCAATCACAGCTTAACCTTTTGGGGTCTTTTTAATTCATTACTAGTTAGCCCCGTTAGGCCTCTTTAATCTACTGCCAGCCTGCTCAAGAGGTCTTATTTGATTTTCAGCCAAATAGCATGTTTTTTACTGATATTCAAATATCTAATCTTGTATGCAGCCAATTGTCATGGAAATTATATTTTTCTTGTTCTAAACAAGATATAGAATCTAGAAAAAATAAAGATATACATTGAAAAAAATTTTACATGTATGTATGTATATATATATCCTATTGAAATAAACAAATAAAACGATAATTTATAATTTATACAGTGTTTTTTTCCATATGTCCATGTATTTTGGGTTCAAATTACTCTAAATAGGTGCCTAATTGAAAGAACTATTATAAAAGTTATAAATTGAACCTATGTATTCAATTTATTAGTTGTACATAGCAGTAAATAAATGTAAATAGACGGCAAATACTATTCGCAAATAAAAGCTAATCTAACAAACTTACCAGTCAGAAATTAAGTTGAACTAAATTACTGGTGTTGGTTAGGCTTGATTCATTGTCTCACTTCCTTATTGACATAAAATTCCACAACAGTTTATGGGATGCTAAAATAATAGTTATATACATAGTAAAATTCACAAAGAAAACAAATAAAAAAATTGAAAAAATTAAGTTTTTTCTCCTAAAAGAATTGTTCTAATAACTAAAAGGCCTATTATTGTTTTGTAGTTTATTTTGAATCTAGTTTAGGCCTATTGTCTTGTGTAAGGGGCCTAACTTCAATTTTTGAACTTTTTGTTTGTATGATATTTGTCAAAACAGTTGTTCGGATGAAGTCCGGGTTTGCTAGGACACGTAGCACAGTAAAAACTGGTACCTCCTTTCGCCCTCCTGGAACCTTTCTGTTGGAACAAACTGCACAGTCTTTAGTTTTTTTCCCTTCTTGTACTTTCAGGGAATGGTACATCCCATTCAATCTAACACCATCATCTCCTTCTGCAGAGTGGCGACGACCCCGTTTGCGGCTTAGGTTTCGGACATCACCAACCAGTTCTTTTATAAGTTCTTTTCTGTACGTTGAATGGATAACTGGTCTCAAATTGTTTTTTTCTCTTTCAATATTGTACAAAATGAAACTATTTACTATTGACACTTCTAGAATCCAAAAATACAATTTTCTCCACCACTTCAAACTTTTTTTGGCAAAGCCGTAGCTGGTGCAATAATGATCATTCCGGTCGACGCCCCCCATCTTGGCTGTATAGTCACATATTGCTATAGGCTTAGGGATGGTTTCCACAACATTTGTTTTGACAACTCTTCTTATTAGTTGAGTTTTAGGGTTGTGATTCGTACTCATTAGACACACATCCCGCTTATCCTTCCATGCAAGGGCTAGAACATCTTCTTCTTTATGTTTGAACGCAATAACAGCGTGTTTAGCAAGTCGTTTCAAAGCCTTTTTCTTCATACACTTTGGAAGGAGTTTTCTTTTTAAGTCTAAAGTTCCAGTCAAGTAAATGCCTAAAGCTTTTAGTTCTAAGGCAAGGTCTAGGCTTGTGTACAACCGATCGGTATATAAGACGTAACCAGTTCGTTGAGTAGAATTTTGTAAATTGACAACCAATTGGTAGATAATTCTTGTAGTGAATGGCAGATCTGGTCTAATTAGACTATTTGTTGTCAATGATCCATAGTAAGGTATCAGACTGCATACGTATCCATTCAAAGAATCAGCTAAAACATACAGTCTCAGGCCCCATTTCACTGGTTTCTTAGGGTTATACATCTTGAAAGCAACTCTACCCTTAAAACTAACCGTAGATTCATCAGCAGATAGGAACTGATATGGCCTATATAATTCTAAAAACTTGGAACCAACATAATCCAACACATTTCTAAGCTTACTAGCCCTTGAGTGCATTCCTCGAACATTAGGAGAAGGGGGTGATACATGTAGTGCCCAAAATATCTGTAGGTATCTTTTACGTGAAAAAACGTCTTTGAAAAAAGAGCTGGAATCCACCCAATTATCTGAAAAAAAATCTTTCAGGGTTGTCTTGGCTTGTCTACCCATGTTCAGCAACACACCATGAAAAACCATAATTTCATTTGCCGTTACATCTTTCCAATCCCACCAAATAGGCTACTATTTTTTCTGAGAGGTGTAATTTTGGCTATCTTTTCCTTGATGTAACGATTCGTCTCATTAGCAATTTCCTCAAACAATTCTAGAGTAAACACAACATAAAAAATTGTAAAGGTGTGGTAGGCCTAGGCTGATTTTGAGGAGGAATGAAACCACAATTTTCGTTGGAAAAATCATTGATTTGAAAATCTGGGGTATCATCGTCCCAAACATCCCACACATCGTCGGGTGTTGCAACCAGAGGTGATTGGGGCCTACGGCCACGTCTACGTATAGGTTCAGGCCTACCTGGATCTAGATCGTCTTCCACTATTTCCTCTTCAAACTCACTTTCTTCGTGGTCACTATTCTCATTACCACTTTCCACCTCACTATTGTTATCATCGTCGGACAATATAAAATCCGGATCAATGTCGTCGTCGTCCACTTCACTATAACTATCTAACAAGCCATCAATTTCCTCTTCATCAAGATAGTCTCCACCACCACCACTTGTTGACGCCATTTAGACCAGTTTTTATGTAAAACAGTTAAAAAAGAGTTCTTCAATAAACTAAAAAACAGTAACTAAAAACTTCGTAAACATGAACCAAAACATCAACACTACTTTTTGGTTACGACGACAGACACTGTTGTGTTGCTAGGCAGTGAAAGTGAAACAGCGTCGAACAAATAGTCAGCTGTTTGCATAGAGTAAAACACGCTTTAAACGCAATACTTTGCTTCTAAATTACTCTCGGCATTATTGTCAGTAGTTCAAAGATCACAGTCCATACAATAAACAGACGTCAGATGGTCAAAACCGAAAATAAAGTGACGTAACATTTTGTCGGACTGAATCCGACAACGGACTGGAACAGCCATATTGCTATGTCGGACTCAGTTCGCCTACGGACCGGAACGGCCATTTTGCTATGTCGGACTGAGTTCGCCTACGGACCTCAAAAGGTTAAAACATTACGTCGTCATCAGTCCTCCCTCAGAGAATGAAATCAGTTCTCAGTTACAAGTTGCAACATAGCCCGCGCAGCGACATCAGACAAAGATGTAAAACGGAGCAGACGAATGTTAGCGCAAGCGATGACGTGACCTTTCCATTTCATTTGATAAAGAAACAGATTTTCCCAAAACAATAATTGGGTGGGGGATTTGTTATATCGAGGGAAAGACGTAGACAATTCATTATGCAGAGGTTAAATTCGCAATGTAGAGGTTCTGACAATGATAAATTCGTTATATTGAGGTGTCTTATTTTAGCCGAAATCACGAAAAATTCGTTAAATCAAGGTCTTTGTTATGGTTTGTTCGTTATGTAGAGGTAAAATATACATTGTGTCTTATGGAGAGTTCTAGGGGATTAAAAAAAATTCGTTATATCAAGGAATTCGTTATAACGAGGTTCGTTATATCAAGGTAAGACTGTATCATAATAAGAAATTGACTTGCTATGTCCATCCAAAAAAGACTTTGTTAACATTTATGACATCCATTATTTCTGTAAAATCAAATCTTGATTATTGACCTACTTGTTTCACGTTGATAATAAATTTGTTGTTTTACGCTACCGGTAAATAATAAAATATTAATAAACATTTTTTAGCTGGTATAATTTATGCAAATGCATTAAGATGTGTAGCACAGTTAACTTAATTGAAAATCCTATTTCAAACAAATAATTAAATAAATAAAAATAAGACTCAACTCTTTTGTTCACCATCCCCCCCCCCCCCCCCCCGCCCCACCGTATGAAAGTGGTTTTGCTTTCTAATAAGTAGCTTTTGAGACTCTTTAATTAAATACAGTAGAACCTCTTTAATCCGAACCCCTGTAATCCGAACGTCCACTAATCCGAACGCCTCATTACTGTACTCTATACACAGTACAGTAGTTCTTTATTGTATACTGTATTTATTTATGTACGCACCGTAATTATTTCGATTGTAATGTACAGTAGGTACTGATAATTCCCTATGTTTACTACTGTATCAAATAAACACTGTATTTTACTTTATAAAGCATTTTTCACTTTTCCCTACCTATTATTATGTAAAAACAACAATATGTTCTGTAATCCAAACTATTCAATAGTCCGAACTACCCCCGGTCCCAATTAGTTCGGATTAAAGAGGTTCTACTGTATACTATTTTCCTGAATGGGCCTACTGTACATGTTATGGATATGTTACATTAAAATGTAGGTTCCAGAATGTTACTGAACTATAAATTTCCATTTCAGGTAATCCTGGTGAAATGGAACGAACCCTACCAGAAGTTAGCATCATGTGACAGCTCAGGAGTAATATTTGTGTGGATCAAGTACGAGGGTCGCTGGAGTATTGAGCTGATCAATGACCGTAATACTCGAGTCACACACTTCAGCTGGTCACACGACGGCCGCATGGCCCTCATCTGCTATCAGGCTAGTTACAGAGTATCTTGAGTCCCTATTTTCATTGCTCCTATATTATTTGGGAAAGGGACAGTCGCGTCGCCCTGTAATCCACATACTTGGATGGAGGTCACGAATTGTAGATATATAATTTATATTTTTATAGGCATGCACTGTGGATGTGATACTCCCTGGTGCAGATTAACAACTGCACTAGTGAACCCATATTACATTAAAAAAAAAAAATATCCACATAATGACCATAAACAACTTAGTTACCGGTACCTGTGAATAAACCGAGAAAATACAGAGTTATTTTGTTAAACTTTGTACAACAAAATGTACAGTTCTACTGGATTGATTTGGTTGATTAATGTGTTGTTGGAAAGCTTAATTCGTGTAGATTTGCAAATAATTATGAGTTAGATTTTTGCCTATTAAAGATTTGTGGTGAAAAAGTAAAACCACAATAATACATTAAAAATGTTTTTTTTTTAAGTTTCTATTTTCAGCTAAGTTCAGGCTGCATTAAGGCCGTGTCACACGTAGCTAGTTTGCTCGCCCCTACTAGAGTAGGGCGCAACTAGCACCCGCTGGCGAGTAAAAATTTAGTAGCGCGAGTAATAGGACATGTTCTATTTTTGAAGTGACTAGTCACTGGTAGCCGAGCAATTTTGGTACCAATTTGGGTACGATTTGAATATTATAGTACGATTGAGGGTCCTCAATTGCTAGTTCTTTTTATAAGCGTGGCTGAGGCACCAAAAGTATGTCTCCTTACTATCCAATCTCATACCCACTTCCGTTTATTTTTATTATATTCCTTGTGGTGCGCTACGAAACAACTCATCAGTCCCCACACAGTTCTCTTACACCTAACAACGAGAGACGTCATAAGGCCTGTTGGCTTATCCCCACTGTTGACATGGCAATGCTTTAAACCACTAGAAGCACAATAGAAGCATTTCACTGTACACACTACTACTAGTCGCCTGGTGTGACTGCAACAACGAGATTATCGGAGAGTGCGAGTAGTAAGTAGCCGCTACTAGTAGTGACGAGCAAAGTCGCAAAATATGACACGGCCTTTAGCCAAGTTTAGGCTGCTATTATTGAGTATTTTCAAGAAATTCATGATAGTAATTTTAGGAAATCTATTCTCTTTTAGAATATCGCCTTCCACTTTGGTTGATTTCCTGACCATTTAAAAGTTATTTGCAAAAAAGCTAAGCAACCTATGAATGCTATCATAGAACCAACTTGTGCAGTTGAAACAGCTGACAAAATTCTTTAATTCCTTTTAAATATGAATACTCATAAGGTTAACATAAGGTTGGCACTACTGGTGCGGAACTGTTGAAAGCTGAGGTAACGTCGTCTCCAATATTTAATACTTTTACAGTTATTTAGACGGTTTTAAAAACATTTCGATTGACTATCTTTATTAGCGCTAACAAGTACGAAGTGAATAATAAACATTTAGAAGCCAGCAGTGTACAAATAGTCTAGTTTTGTGACTGATTATCTACCGGCGATAACAGCGTGGTCAGTTCCAGTTGGACACACAGTTGGACAGTTTCAGTGGTGTGGACACTCTTAACCGGTTCGCGTGTTTAATATAAACTGTGACAGTGTAGTGTTGTGTCTATGTCTAAAACTATTGACAATTTTTTCACCCCGAGACAAAAAAAACGGAAGGAGCGATCGTCAATCACGCCGGAGGAGGATCTACACGGCGGTATGGACCAGGATACTACAGGTCAGCAAACACGTGGACAGCTTCTCGATGATATCGGTAAGCTACTAGACAAAAAACTTGCAAACTTGGTAACAAAACAAGATATTGCTTTACTGACTAAACAAATCGAAGAGTTGAGAGAAGAAAATGAAGCATTAAAAATAGAAGTTGTCAAGTTAAAAGATAGAGAGGTTATGATTGCCAGTAAGCTTATTGATTTGGAGTCGAGAGCTCGTAGAAACAATCTCATTTTTCGTGGGATACACGTCACTGAGCAGAATAAAGACTATAAAAGATTAGTGGCAAAGTTCTGTGAAGAAAAACTCAACATGGGTAGAAATGTATGGGTCAACAGGGCACACCCATTAGACAATGATAAAAGTGCGATAATCGCCCACTTCCCAGAAGACAGTGCCATAGAATACATAATGTCACAAACGCAAAGTTTGAAGGGAACTAACTTCTATATACACCGCGACTTCCCCCAAGAAATACGTGTGAAGAGGGCGAGGCTAGCTGCAGTGCGAAGTGAGGTTAAGCGCGTCGCAGGGTGGCGACGAATGCCGTTGGTATACGACCATGTGTACATAAACAACATAAGGTTCAGCTGGGAAGACGACAAACTGATGGCAGGCAAGGACGACGGTGCAGAAAAACTACGGGCGATGTTCAAACACGACTTTAGGGAGGCCCTGGAGAAGATTAAGAACCATGACAGCAAACAGCGCGATCGACGGCAGACGTATGCTGAGGCAGCAGGTGGTAAAGTGGCCTACAACGAGACCGAGAGCAACACGACCAAGCTTACAACCACCATGTCAACCACCAGTCCGAGAGATCAGGATTTGGAGGAGGGGGAGCTGTCATCAGGCTGAGGAGGCTGCGCTAATCCCAGGACCTTTGAGGGCGAGGGGCAACGGACCAGCAACTCGAAAACACCGGTAAAAGACTATTTTTTGAGAATTTTGAGTTATAATATATGTGGATTAAAAAACAAGCTAGATGATTCATATTTTCTGGAAATGTTAAATAGCTATGATTTAATTTTACTTTTAGAAACCTTTGCTACAGGAAAAGATAAAGAGTATTTATGCACTAAGTTTAAAAATTATTCTGTGTACATTATAAGTGCAAGTAGAGTAGCTCACTATGGTAGACACAAGGGAGGTTTGGTTATTCTAATCAATTTACAGTTACCGTTTGCAAAAAATCTTAGTTATGTAGAGTATCAAGATTTTCCTATAATAGAACTTTGCCATGAAAATCTCTGTTCAGATTCAGGTAAAAAAATTACAATTTTGCCTCTATACTTAAACTACGGCGAATGGGAGGAACAGTTTCAAAATTTGGTATATTTTACTGAACTGCGTTCTTTAGATAATTTAGTTTTGATCGGGGATCTTAATGGACGAATAGGAACTGAACAGAATTTTACTGAGGGAACAATAGATAATTTTAATAACTCGTTAGTTAGTTGCAGAAGGTCTAAAGATACCATAGTGAATTCTAGAGGTAAGAAAATATTAGATCTATTTACAAATTTAGGGTTAGTAGTTTTAAACGGTAGGACAAAAGGTGATAATGATGGAGAGTTTACTTTCCTAGGTGGCATGGGAAGCTCAGTAATTGATTTAGCTGCAGTATCTATAGATTGTTTAAGCGTAGTCAGCGATTTTAAGGTTATCAGTTGCCCAGGTTCTGATCACATGCCAGTTGAAGTGAGCTTAAGGGTCTTAGTCGAGAATGTGATTGAGGGTGAGGATGACAATGTTATCCTACCTCTTTTACCTAAATTAAAATGGACTAAAAATGACGATTTGTTTTACAGTAACAAAATTCATAAAGCCATGCTCCAGTTTTCGAATACAGAGGACAACGAGAAAGGTATAGCAGAGTTAACAGAGACAATTGTTAAAGCAGCGGCCTTTAAACTAAAGCCACAACAAAAATCTTGTACTTTTATTAAGAAACAGCCTTGGTTCGATAACGAATGTTTGGCTCAAAGAAAACGGGTTTTTAAGATGTTAAATCGTTACAGGAAATCAAACTGCCAAATAATCAAATTACAGTACTCCCATGAGCAAAAATTTTTTAGATCCCTTTGTAGAGAAAAGAAACAATTGTACCAAAATAATTTAGTTATCAATTTAAGTCAAACATCAGATTCAAGGAGTTTTTGGCAAGCAGTCAGTGTAATTAAAAAAAAGGAAGGGAAGAAGATTGGGAAAATTGCATCGTCAGAGTGGGTTAAACATTTTCACACCCTACTCAACCCACCTTTACTAGTAGATAAGATAAGTTACGCAGAACCTTTTATCGTAGATGCATACCTTGATAGTGATTTCACTCTCGCTGAGTTAACAACCGTCTTGTCCAGTGCTAAACAAAACAAAGCACCGGGTCGCGATAGAATTCCGTATGAATTTTACAAAAATGCACCTCAGGTTTTACTAATTAAACTACTTAAAATCTACAATAATTGTTATAAAACGGGAATAATACCAGAATCCTTTAAAAGTTCAATTGTGTTTCCATTGCATAAGAAGGGGGATATTAACTGCGTAGAAAATTACCGAGGTTTATCTTTTATTGATTGTATAGCAAAACTTTTTATTGGTTTAGTAAACAATAGACTTACTAATTGGGTCCATGAAAAAAATATATTAACGGAGTTTCAGGCTGGGTTTAGGAGGGGGTATTCAACAATAGATAATATTTTTAACCTAACCTGTATGGGACACTTAAGATTAGAGGAAAACAAGGGGAAACTATTTTGTTTTTTTATTGATTTTTCATCAGCTTTTGATACAATAGACAGAGATGCCCTTATGTTCAAATTATCGTGTTTAGGCTTATCAACAAAATTACTAACTATATTGAAGAACTATTACTCGGGAACCACGGCGTCAATATGGGTTCCTGGAGGAATAACCAACAGCTTTAACACCTCCATGGGCTTAAGACAGGGATGTCTAATCAGCCCTATTAATTTCTCATTATTCATTAATGATCTGCCAGAAGTGTTAGAAGGTGGGTGCAACTTTGGTGGTCAGAGGGTCAATATGCTGATGTATGCAGACGATATAGTGATTATATCTCCGACAGCTACAGGTCTGCAGCACATGATAAATAGGCTAGAAAATTACTGTGAAATATGGAACCTCAACCTCAATTTAAATAAATCAAAAGTCATGGTATTTAGGAAAGGAGGGAGGCTTGGAACAAATTGTCAATGGTGGTACAAAGGCAAAACAATAGAGGTAGTAAACAGCTATAAATATCTAGGGGTCGA